CGTTCCTTGCGGGAGCTGGAGCCCGACGGCAGGGCCCGCATCGGGTCTGGCACAGTGCGCCCGCCCGGCCCGGTGTAAAGATCCGCTGGGTTTCTGCACCCAGCTCGTCAAAAGCACACCGAGTGACACGCTGGTAACGGACAGCGTTCAGAATAGGTGTTGCACGGGAGAGAGGGGAGCGGTGCTTGGGTTTAAAAGTGGTCAGGAAGGGTGGCTGCGTCAGAGGAAAGAGGGCTGTTGGAATTTAGTGGTGTTTCCCGAAGCTGTGCTCGCCCACGCGGCGCTAGGAGGGCAGGGGGTTCAGTGGGAGAGCAAACAGGACGTTTCTGTTGGTTTAATGTCAGCACTGAGGCTTCCCGTTAGACCTTGCCGGGTGTAAACTGCAGCTGCAATGAACATCCTCCAGAGCGGCTTGATGACAAGTCATACCCCCTGGGCTGGGGTTCCTGGCTGATCCATCAGCTATTAACCATCACTGCAAAAGCTCTGCTGCTGGAGAATTTAAAATAGGCTGTGTCTGACCTTCCTTTTCTGGAAGATACTGACCCTAGAGGAAGGTCCCTTTTCAGAATCTGCAGCTGAAGAACTCTAATGCTGCTGCTTTTAGCAGCAGAGTAAAGTTGCCACTCAGTGCTGTAAAATAACAGTCTGTACGCAGGCTGCAGGTCTTGCCCCTTGAGCAGCACTGTCACCATCTGCAGTGCTGACTCCTGGAGACTTCAGGAGCTAAAGGCAGAGGTTATGAGATTTGAGCAGGCATGAATAGGTCATTGATGGCTCTCACCCTCCTGCATGCTAAGCCTGAAGTGTCTGAAAGGAAAAGAGGGTGAGTGGGGTGCTGTGTGCACTTAGCAAGGACAGAGCCTTCCTCTGCAGTCTGGAGGAGACCATCCTCAGGCTGCTCGAGCAGCCCGGCGAGGTGGCTGGTTTAGAATTTGTCCTGCACTTGATATGAGAAGCCATCTTGTTTGTGTTAGTGAAAGAGGGTGGCTTTCAGAAATCCTGGTTATTCGTATTTTTTTATTCTCTCTGGTGTGCTGTTCAGAAGACAGCTCAGGTTTTGCCCATTTGGGGTGAGGCTTACTGTGCTTGTGAGCCATACAGTCCT